AGTGTTGATCCACACCTATAGAAACATCTTCAACAGAGAGTTCAACCTTGCTTTCCATGTACCAAAGAAAGATCGCTGTGACCGTTGTGAAGAATATAACATGAAGTCCAAGCATGACGATGTTGATAAAGAACTCAGAGAAGAATACCTGGCCCACTTCCAGTCTAACGTGGCAACAAAGCAGGAACGTGACAGAGACCGTGAAGACCGTGAAAAACTTGTTGTATGCTTTGATCTTGAAAATGTCTTAAGCTGTCCACAGGCAAACATTTCAAGTTTCTTTTACCGCCGGAAACTTAGTGTTTATAACTTAACTGCTCATTGCTCGTTGGATTCACAGGGCTATTGTGCAATCTGGAATGAGACACAAGCAGGAAGAGGTGCAAATGAAATTACCAGTGCCTTAATATCCATATTGACCAAAATAGTGGAAAAGCACCAGCCAGAACACATCACCCTTTGGTCAGATTCCTGTGTTGCGCAAAACAGAAATGCTGGAATTACATTTGCACTAAAAGATTTTATGGCAAATCACAATATCAAAAGCATTGAACAGAAATTCTGTGAGCCTGGACATTCTAGCATTCAGGAAGTGGATGCAGTACACAGTGTCATTGAACGACAGCTGAAACGATCAGATGTCTTTAGTCCTCTTGGAATTGTAAGATGCATGAAGTTGGCAACTGAGAAGAATCCCCTTGATGTCATTCAGCTGAGACAGAATCACTTCAAAAAGTACATCGAAGCTTCCAGATGTCTGAATTTCACTAAAGTGCCCTTTACAAAGGTGAAAGCTATTTTGAACACCAACGAGGAGCCATTTACAGTTCAGTTCAAGACATCATTCGATGATGAGGAAATGAAAAGGGTGTGCATTCGTCCCAGAGAAAATAAGAGGAGACTGTCATCACCAACGCGGAGTCCTAGTGACCTGGAATGGCCCCAAGTCAAAACCATCATGAATACTTTCGGCATGACAGATGAGAAAGCCAAGGATATCCGTGCAATGCTGAAATTCATGAATCCTGTTGACAAGAAATTCATGATTGGACTTCTCCCCAAAATGAGGCCTCGTTAGTATAAATGAGAAACTGAAAGATATCCATGCAATGCTGAATTCATGGATCCTGTTTCCTCAAACAGCAGATTCACTAGCGATTGTTTGGCGTTTAGAACTCTGTTCATTGTTCTGTTAGCTAGTTACAAAGATTTTCAATCCAGTATTCTCTTTTTACTTCGTAGTTGTTATCAAGATGTTAGTTGGTAATTCTCAATGATTGTTGCTGCATCGAGTCTTGTTATCATTGATTTCAGATGAACATGGTAAAACACTGTACCATAAAAGGCTCCTCTATTTACCTCGATAAACAGGCTGGAGAATTAAGCCTGGAGTCAATGCAGTGGATATCTCGAAATTTGTTTTTCTTAACTGTTGAAGATTTAGTGTTTCTTGTCCGAGGCATTATTGAAATATTTTAGGGATATCAATGTTATAGACACATTCATAAACCTAGATATACCATGCACCCTTTGAAATGTTAAATCTTTGTTAAAATAACAAAATCCTTCAAATGACTTGTTAAAACTTTTCATGCTTAGTTGTTTATTCTGCAATGAGTTCTCGTACAGTATATATTAACCATACACCATCCAGTGAATGAAAGGCACTTCTATTAAAATGCCATCCTGCCATGTTAATCTTTGTACAAGGTGCTCAGGGAAAGTGAAACATTTATTGTTAATGTTAATGAGGTATTCAGGATGAAACCTCTACAGTTTCTGTTTTGATGTTGATATTTGACAAATAAATAATGTTCTTTAAAGATGCTCTTGTTTTGTCTTTGAAAATGGTGGTTTGTTTTAAACAGAAGGCCTTCTACTAGTCCACTACAAAAATACTTGATGGGCGGAACAGGTTCCATGGAATACAGAGACCCTATTTTAGATTATGAGAGGAATGTTCATAGTGTAACGGCTGGTTCATTAGCAGATGCCGCCTTCATGGGTCATTGTGTATGTATATATAGAAACTTGGGTTTTGTAAATACATGCTCATTTTTTGTGTATAACATTTTGCAATCAACAGACATCATAACATGTCATGTGTTCAAGTATCACACCTGCCTGTCTGTGTAATTACATAATGTGACAGAGACCGAACTCGGGCCATAAATCAATGCGTTTTGTTTATGGTGTATAGCCTGATTGGTGTTAAGTTCAAATTGCATGTGGTCAGTGATCGCAGTTGTGTATTGAATATTGTCATTAGCAGACAGGCAGGCAGACACACAGGTGTCAATAAAACAAGACATTGAGTTTTGTCTGTGACAGCGATATATCTATATCACAGTTAGAAATCGTGTCAACTCTAAATAATGCTTTTAAGTATCGAACTGAGAAAGTGACTCGGTAAGAAGAACGTGTGGTGAAACAGACAAATGAAATTATATAAACAGTTTATTTACTGTCATAACATACAAAAAGCTCGCGCCTGTGAGATATCAACAAAACATTAGGAAACTAGCTCACACCAAAGCCTTCACAGAGTATTCACCAGACAGCCCGCTTCCAAGTTGCGCGAACCTATTTCACTGCGCACGTGCTATGAGCGCAGCCAGCTGTTGAAACCCGTATTCCCCAGAAAAGTCTGGGGAAAATTAGTGAAACGTTTGAACTCCGATTTCGCGCGTTTTTTTTCATCGCGTTATTTTTCAACTTTATAAGTTGAATTTGCATTTTTGACGCTTTATTTCGGTAAGTCCATACGGAAAGGTATCAGAATCTGCAAAGTTGTGTTTTACGTTGCATGTGACCTTTAAGGTTTTAAATGCTTAAGAACACTGTTTTCGTCCCTATGTGTAAATCTGACTGGACAATTTTCAATAAATGGTATGAAAATCGTGTTTCAATGTTTGGAGTCCATTATCTCCAAATCAGGTTTAAGTGACATAGAACACTCTGGTTTTCAGGCGACGAGTTGTCCCCCCTAACGTTAAAAACGAAGTGGGCGGGGCTTATCGGCCGGGACTGGCTCGGTCTATTGGCGGCCAAATGAAATTTTGTGACACCAAACTATTCTCGTGTTAACACCACCACTTTGAGAAGGAAATATGATGAGACTGGCCCCAATACTGACCCACCCCTCTGTACAGGTATTAGCGTAATACTATTGATGTTACCTATTGAGTGGAAGTGTGTTGCTAATGTATTATATTGTGCAATTTTTAGACACTGGGTGTAATGGCGGATTGGCCTTCTGTTAACGATGTGAAGTGCGATGATTCTAATCATAAAAAATGGCGACTATGTATGTATTTAGTGTAACCTTTGTGAAACTTTAGAAACACTTTTCTACATTTTGCCACGAGCATTATAATGCGCACTGCTTCGTTCCTCGGACTACTGCCTGGCATGGTGCAAGGCGATCTGCGAATTGAACTCGACTGAAAGGGGTGGTAGGTGTGTGTGCTGGTATGTTGTATGTGTTTAACTTTGTAACGCAAAATCATTCGTGCAATAACTACAAAGCTTTTTTTCATTAAATACGTTGTGAAAAGGTATGATTTTTTTATATAAAGCCTTAAACACCACGGACACCAGCTGTTTCGTGTGCCTTAGTACTGCCTGCCCCCCTTGCAAGCAGTAGGTGGGATGGCCTACTGAAACTTACTTGGGAAGGAGGGGTGCGTTGCAAGCTACCAATCGCTTGCAAGCGATGTGCAGCGATTCGCGTAACAACGGGGCGCTAACTTTCAGCCGCTAGCAATCGCGCCAATCGCTGACTTTGGTCGCTTCTTTCTCAAACCAAAATGGCGACCGAGGGAATTTTGACTCTGACAGCTGCACAGGAAATTATTGACTGGGTCAATGACCAAGTATCATCAGGTATGTTGTGCATATCAGATAGACACTATTCAACCTCCACGCACAAAAATATTTAAATTTCAATAATTGAAGCACCATAACGCTCATTACGTGCTAAATGTTTTTCTTCTTGTTGTTGCGTCAGATGGGCCGAATAAGTAAATTTACAAAGATATAGATTTTATGTCTTCTGATTCTAATGATGCAGTCGTAAGTATGAACCCTTAAACAGCTTCAGTAATTGCGAATAATGATACATACAAATGAATAAACTAAGGAACCTATCATTTGTTATTGATATTTCTAGGGGAATCAGGGCAGCCGACAGCCGCTGTACGAGGGGTTAAAAAATAATATACATTTTGGGGTAAATGATCAGTTTATGACAAAATACTCAGCGATTTTGCATATTGACCTATTTAAGGAGGATATATAAAAATAATTGTACAGGTACATGGGGAGGGTTGTCCAAAATGGGTCCCCACTCCATAACAAAATATTTCCCCAAATGTTGCATAGTCACACCAATTAGGTGTGTGCGGGGATTGGGATAGAGAACTTTGACAATGGGCCATTTTCAGGATTATTAGCCATTTACTGAAGTTTGAATGGGCCACTGCCCTTGTATCAATAGTAAACATCAAAATTTTCATGGGCCATTTTATATTCAAATGTGCAAAATGGCCCATGGCCCCTGCCTTTCCCAATCCCTGTGTGTTCAGTTTACTAACTTGTTTGTATGTTTGTTCATGTATTTATTTAAGAATGTTGCTTTGTATTTTCTCTCAATTGTTGTCAGGTGACATTCGCAATATTGGATGGTAATGTACTTACTTTCTTTGAATCAGTCAATAGAATTAATGACATGATTGTCTCAGTATGATTTCATTATTTTACATCCAAAAGGTATTGTAACCATGATCAGAATTTGGTTACAGTTTCATATTTTGTAATATGTGATATGATATTGTTTATTCCATTACATGCGCTAAAATATTGATTACTATGACAGGGACTAATCATTTTGAGGCTGAACTTAGATAAAGATATTTCATTAAATGCCTTGCACAGTTAATGATTTTCTCTCTCTACACCATGTATGCCACCCCAATGAAATTAAACATCAGATTCTTTAACATTACTTTTTGTCAATCTGCTTGTAGATTGGTATCATGGTATTGTGAAAAAAGGGTTTCTTGGACTACTTTTGAGTAGTGTGACTGGTCTGAGAATGCGATGATTTCTTTTTTCTGTTTGGTTACACTTCAATTATTTTATGGCACACAAGGGATAAGGACACCTCTGGTTTTTTTGTTGTCTAGGGGACATGACCTCTCCTGTGGGACCCCTTGGGAGAGTGATCCCACAAGTGTACCACCACCATGTTAGCACGGATATCTTAGCTACGTATGTGGTGTCAGATCAGAGAACAAGCGACGCCTTCATGGCGAAAATGGGCAAGGGCACATCGGTAATTGTGAAAAGTTATTCAGAGCAGGTTTATCCACACATCCTGCAAAACCTGACCCCTACTGGAGAGAAGGCTGTGGCAGAAATCCACCCATGGATACTGAACCTATTGATTGACTGGTGCAGTTTTGATTCAGTCATCTGCAGTCATCCTCTTGTGAGTTGGAATTTATTAAAACAGAAGATCTACTCTTTTTTAACTATGCGGATAGTTCATACGTCAACTAATTTATCCTCAAGCAATGTCACATGTAATCTGGTATGTTGTTTATTGTAACAAATGATGGAGTTACATCGTTTATCACTTCAATGTCATAACTTTCAGTGACATTTTACAGTTCAAAATACATGTTTGTGCCGATGTCAAACGACGGTAGTCAACATCTGCTTACCTTCCAGTCTGAGGAAGGGCCCATGGCAGATACTGAAAGGAATTCGGCAGTTCTGGTAGCCACAGAGCCATCGTGCAGCAGCCAGACTGTACAGTCAGCAGGAGACGGTTAGTAATGCTATTTGTTTGAAAGTTTTATCATATGATATTAGTAATGCATATAGTCTGCCAAACTCCACAACCAGACCAGTAGTATCAAATAAGATATTTTTGTACAAACAATACACAAATGGCAGTCTGCTCCAGTGAAAGTTGTTAAGTTGGAAGGTTTATTCTTATTTTGAATGTGTTCACTTATTGGAGAATGCGATGCTTTGTGGTTTCTCTCTATTTGTTACAGGTGACAACATTCATGTTATAGGTTGGTAATATATTTACTTTCAATAAACCAATCCATCATTCATGACATGATTGTCACATTATGATTTGTTAGATGTTAGCTAATTATGACCATAGTGGTTATTTTTTGTAAGATTGAACAAGTAGGCCAAGTAGTCAGTGAAATGAAATTGGTCAGCATTTTCATTACTCTTGAAAATCATTTATGTCAACATTTAGGGTGTGTAGCAATGTCATGTTGTAATAGATCATAGGTTAATCTTCATATCAAGAGAAGAAATATTATCATTTACAATGAGACTTATTTTGTTTTTACCATTTGTTACCTTCACAGGGCTCTAGATAAGTTTTCAACATCAGGAGTACGTACTCCTTATTTTTGCAGTATAGGAGTACTTGAAAACCTTAGGAGTATATTTCGAGTACTGAATGGAATTTAATGCAGTATCAGTAATATTGTGTTTCGTTTCATATATGCACCACAACATTGCTACTCTTGTGTAAATGGAGCATTAAACAATAAAATAATATGTTTTCAGATAAGTACATCTGTAAGTGATTCTGAGACTGTACACCACTGGTGTGGTGTGTATCTGCTAAGTTTTCTAAATTATTTCCCACCGTATCATGCATATGTTTTAGCTGTACATACGCCGATACGGCCCTTGTCTGGAGCCCTGCTTTCAGTTCTGTTTTGGTATTAATCTTGAATTAATTAATCTTCATGAATTAATCTTTCACAGATACACCACCTTTTGAATGGAATTGCCAGTCCACGAAGCTCCTGTTGGAAAAGTACCGGGAACATAAGGAAAAATTTAACAAACCCATCAAAAAAATATCTGTTTGGAAGATCATTGCAAACGAAATGCGAAACTTCGGCTATAACATCCTCCATTCTGATGCTGAGCGCAAGTTTCGGAATCTGAAAAGCCATTTCAAAAAGACCATTGCCCATAATAACAAAAGTGGGAATTCACGAAGTAAATGGGAATATTTTGATCAAATGTTTGAAATTCTGAAAGATGACCATGCTATCTTTCCTAAGGTTGTTAAAAGTACAATGGTGCCCGAATTCTCAAACACAAACCCTGAGCCCCAAAGTATTTCTCAAAACCAAAACACAGTTGAAAATGAATCAAATTCACTCACTCCCCCAAAGCCTTTAGGCAAGCAAAAGAGAAAATCAACTGCACCCCATTGGTTCCAGGTGCACATGGAACAACAAAAAAAAGAAAAAGAAGCCAGACTTGCTGCATTTCAGAAAATGCATGATGAGAATATGGAAATTCAAAAACAAAAGTTGGAAGAACTGCACAAAATGAATGCAGCATTCATGCAATACTTACAAAATCTAAAATGAATTATGTCATGACATGGAAACATCATAACAATAACAACAAGGAAAATGTGTTACGTCCAAATTATTCACTTTAGTATTCGTTAGTAAATATCTATATTTCCTCCAGATATATCCAAAAATCTTCCAAACAACAAAATTATGTCATTTTATACCAAATAATGAGTTGGTACTAACTTTAGATCTATGGTATTCAAAATTTCACCATAATTTAAACACTGGCTACAGTGCTTTGGACAACATTAGATTTGTCAACATAGTTGTCATTGTGGTCTATTTAACACACATGTATTAATGTTTTGAACAGGTATGTGAAGTTGTAACCTCAAGCATCCACAGGTTTCCAATATTGTTACAGCCTACACATATGCCAAAGTTACATATACTTAAAGAATTACACGATTAATGATTACGTATACTACTCAAAAGACATAACATATTAACAAAATAACAATATGGAGATGAGTGTACCTTAACTTATTTACAATAGTATATAACAGCCCTGTCGACCATGGATAATCTGAAAGGATTGATAAGAGCATTGTCGTATCAGACACCAAAGCAGGGATCATTCAAGTTGTTCCATCTTCATAGACACCTTCAGGGGAGGGGAAGTTTAAAATGGGATTTTGAATCAGCTTTCACATTGTGTGCCATGATATTAGTGGATTAAGACTGAGAACCAAGATATGATAACGTATTTACATTGTGTGCCATGATATTAGTGGATTAAGACTGAGAACCAAGATATGATAACGTATTGACATTGTGTGCCATGATATCAGTGGATTAAGACTGAGAACCAAGATATGATAACGTATTGACATTGTGTGCCATGATATCAGTGGATTAAGACTGAGAACCAAGATATGATAACGTATTGACATTGTGTGCCATGATATCAGTGGATTAAGACTGAGAACCAAGATATGATAACGTATTGACATTGTGTGCCATGATATCAGTGGATTAAGACTGAGAACCAAGATATGATAACGTATTGACATTGTGTGCCATGATATCAGTGGATTAAGACTGAGAACCAAGATATGATAACGTATTGACATTGTGTGCCATGATATCAGTGGATTAAGACTGAGAACCAAGATATGATAACGTATTGACATTGTGAAATGCATATCATCATAATGAAGCTAAATGGTTGCACACAGTTTTAAATTCAGTCATTAGTTTTGCCTATCTTCCAAGAGAACGTTTCAGCTATAATTCCTTGTTATTTGAGAAAAGATGAATTATAGCTCGACAATGCGTAGCTCACATGATAACCATGTATGTGAGTTTAGGAGCCTTGTTCTATTTTCACAACCCAGTGATCAGTGTTGTTATTTTCTTGTTATGTTAAAGATATTTCTTTCATTTTGTCAAAATTAGCATCCCTGTACCTGGTACACTTAAGAAGGAAAGGGAAAGAAGTAAATATGATTCTTGAATTACAATGAAAAATAGTTGTTGTTTTTTAAAATCACATACTTGTAAGAACAGGAATAGCCACTTCACCACCATGTAATCATAGATTCTAAATAATTAGAATATCATCATCAGACTTTGTGGCTGCTAATAACAATTATTATATTCAATACAGTTCATAGTATGTTTTTATGCAGGATATGTGAAACATCTCGCATACACCTCGTACATTTTCAGTGACATACTCCTATTCACTCTATTAGCTGGGCTCGATTTAAGAGATGTTATTCTACTTGCACCAGGTGCAACCTAAGATAAAAACCTAGTTGCAATGCAGTGTGTTAAAACATCAGATTTCAGTGCACATAAACATATTAAATAGCAACGTTTTGGTACCACAGCAATTATAAGTTTAGAAGAAAAATGAGCTGACATACTTATAATGTTAGATTTATTGTTGATTTGTTTCTCAAAAAATGACTTGCACCTGGTTCAAGGTTGACCAATAAGTAGGTTGCACTTAATATTGGGTTGGACCAGTGCAATTAACAAAGTTCTAAACTGAGCCCTGATTACATATAGTCTTTTACTTCCTACCCCTAAGGATGCAGTTATGCATATCATTTCACTACATCTGAGATGCAATGTGGTCCCTTTTAGACCCAGCTAATCTGGTAACATTGTCTGGTACTGCCTCATCTACCATCTCAGTCTCTGGCTGATAGTCACTTCCTTGGTCATCATAGCACTGGGATTCATGTGTCAGGATCAGGTTGTGTAGCACACATGTTGTGACCACAAGATCAGGTATACAGGTAGTGAGGTCCATATCTAAATACTTAAGCTTTCTGAATTTTCCCTTTAACAGTGCAAATGCCCTTTCAATAACAGATCTACAGGTGCTATGGACATGATTGTATCGCTTTTGGGAAGGAGTGAGATGACCGTTATCTCTGTATGGTGTTAAGAGGTATGTTTTGAGTGGGTACGCTGCATCCCCTAAGAGGTGTCCCTCCTTAACAATACCCTTTTCTTCAAGAATTTCAAAAACAGGGGACTCTTTGAAAACCCTAGCATCATGTACTGATCCTGGGTAACCAGCAAACACATCCACAAACATCATCTTTTCATCACAGACAGCTTGCACTTGGATGGAAGGCCGACCTATAAAGCAAAGAAAATGAAACTGGTTCATATTTATAAGCTTAGTTTGTTTCTTCAAACCTGCACTGCATGACATTTGAACAACTGTATTTGCTCTCTCCAAGGCCTGGGCCTCTATTCTACCACACTCTCATTACCCCTAGCATGTAATCACAAAGATGATAATGTGGAAACACCTGCATTAACACTGACTAGCAATTTCTTCAAAGCCTGGAGTGTTATCCAGGGTATACTACATATGATATAACCATACAAATTATTAAGCCAAGACCAGTACAAGATATGTGTGATGGCAACAATACAGAAAATTGCGTCTGAACATCTTGGAGAAATTGGGGTGTCTACTTTTGTGTGAATAATGCGAAGTTTTAGCTTCATGTAGTGCAGTGGTTCCATGTTTATGCTAGAAAATAGTCGGGTGAGCTAAAAAGATGTAAGTGATCTGTTGTCACCTACCCATATCTGGAGCCCCCTGTCTTGATATTGCATAAAACTAAACACACTCACTCACTGTTGTCATTTTCACACTACCTTTCCTATTGATATAGCTTCCTCCGTCATCCTTGCCCTTGATGTCAATATGGGTACCATCAATGCAGCTTCCTCCGTCATCCTTGCCCTTGATGTCAATATGGGTGCCATCAATGCAGCTTCCTCCGACATCCTTGCCCTTGATGTCAATATGGGTGCCATCAATGCAGCTTCCTCCGTCATCCTTGCCCTTGATGTCAATATGGGTACCATCAATGCAGCTTCCTCCGTCATCCTTGCCCTTGATGTCAATATGGGTACCATCAATGCAGCTTCCTCCGACATCCTTGCCCTTGATGTCAATATGGGTACCATCAATGCAGCCAAGAACCTGAGGAAATCCTGTCTTGTTCTCAAAAGTTGTCATGATTCTTTCAGCTTGCACTTCAGATGGCCCTGCTATGTAACGAGGACTGAGGTTGCAGACCGACTTACAGAACTCCATTACAATACGATGTCTTCCCCTGTCAATACCAAACTTATCTCCAACTTCTCTGTAAGATTCCCTGGTACAGAGGAACCATAAGGATGACAATACTTTACCTTCTAGAGACTGTGATACACATCTACTCATGGAGCTTGCTATTTCACCCATTAGAATCTGCAATAAAGATTTTCTATTTAATTTATATCAATTAATGCAGGTTAGACAATATTTATTTCAAGAGAAAAAAATTTTACTTGGATCACTTCCCTTCCTTTCAAGTTAACATTTCATCCGCTGCTCAAATGCAGACTCTACAAAAACATGATAAATCATATACTAATTATACTGGTCACTTAAAGAACACAAATCAATATTAACAGTTATCTCCAATCCATCTTTCCCAAAAATGAGTGGAAATTGATTTTGAAAAAAACATAGGCATGTGTTTATGAATAACTGTATAAAAAAATACAATTCTTTACACAAAATTACAGACCTTTGAAATCCAGCTGATTAGTGGAATGCACTGAAGTTGAAGTAATATGTCAAAGAATATATTTCACATTTATGTTAAGATGGATATGCAAACAAGAATACGACTGCTTAATAAACGATACATGCAGTGAGTAGGATTCTCGATATATGCCATTGACCGGAATCGAACCGATGTCTTAAGAACAATCTTTAAGACTGCCATTCAAAAGCTTCATTTGAGAATCATGTTAAATATAATTTCAACATCATAAATACAAACTGTGTTATAATAAATATTAATGGGTGAACTGAACCCATCACATTCACACTAGCTAATAAAATCATAAATTGTGTGAACCCATCACACTAGCTAATAAAATCATAAATTGTGTGAACCCATCACACTAGCTATTAAAATCATAAATTGTGTGAACCCATCACACTAGCTATCAAAATCATAAATTGTGTGAACCCATCACACTAGCTAATACAAGAATGTGTGCACAAACCACGAAAGGGCACTCACTGCATAAAGGATTATGAACTTGACAATCCTGCCTTTAGCCATCGGAGGGTGCAAAGCTCCAGGATTTATTCATATTGTGTTCATTTATTTCAGCATCTGTCTTGGGCTTAATTACAATTCTTGATAATCAAGTGAATGAAATAAAGTCACATCAGCTTTGTTTCAGCTCTATAGTGATGAGACCAAGTTCACACATGCATAAATCCATTATACACATGATATAATATAGGTAAATATGTGCTTGTTTCTGTGTTTTCACCTATCAGTAAGTGAAGTGGTATCGGTAAGGTGAAATTGAAATTGAAATGATTATATCCAAAAATACTGGAATTACTTAAAGACATGCATGCATGCACACATGAGGCAGCTTATGAATAACATGTACAACTTTCTGTGGCTATTTATGCTGTTGGCCTGCTTAGATACTGTGCCCCATTTTACAAGTCATTGTGTTCTGTCCTCAAAGCCTAACCACCAGACAGGGAAACAGCAAGTGCCATAACTCAATATCTGTACTCGATATCAATTTTTTTTTTTTTTTAAACACAACTTTTCAGAATTAACTCTCCTTTACTCATTAAGGTGATCTTAGACCATTTTTAGAGTTTATTATGAAATGTGCTTATATTCCAGGATACCAATCAAATTGCCCTAGCTGCAAAATGCCCCAGCAAATTTGGTCAAAATGCCCTGGGTTTTTGGTCAAATTGCCCCAATGTATTGTAAATGATGACATATACCGTATGCCAGGAATGCATCGTTTTTGTAAACTTGATGTTATATCCTTTACATAAAAGTTATTAGGACATAATATTTCTGATAAAGGTTCCATTGGTTACCTCATAAGAGCAAAAGGAATATTCCTGTAGAGACACTGTAATACCAAATATTATGCATGGTATTAATGCTTTTTCAAAGAAGTACAATAATGAAATAAAATTTTGTGTAATCACACTAACACACAAGTATGGTATAACACTTATCAAACAATCTAGAGCTTTTGTTAATCTTGTTCCAAGGTGAGGATAAGAACTGGCTGTAGAAACCAACTGACATTCAATGCTATGTAATGACAAACAGACAGGCAGATAATGTAATCTGTGTTGGACCTAGGCATAAACATTTAGGAATCATCACGACTCCCTGGTGTCATGTGAGGGAGTCATGGACATGTTTTTGGCAGCTTCAGTTTGGGGCATTTTGTAGCTGGGGCAATTTGACTGGTACCGAAGCGATCAACCACTTATATCATAGAAATAAGTTACGGTTCCGTGAATATCTTGTTGTCAATTACAAATCTGATTGTGTTACCTCTACCGTTGTACGTGACATCCGGAAATGCATATGGAAGTCGTCCGGACTGTACCTGCTGACAGTCGATTGTACATACTCTCTCATGCGAGCGTGCTGCTTCTCTTGGAAGTGGGCAAAGGCTGCTAAGGTCATACTATGCTCAGCCTGCTCTGCATCATCAAAGTATTCCTCCATCGTCATTAAATTCGCTGGTTCGTCGTCGATGACCTCTTCGATGACATTTTTCATTAGGGCGAGTACCCCAAGCGGTACGCGCGCCGCCATTTTGAAAGAAAGCGGAAGCGCTTCGAACTGTTGTAAACCCCGGATGAGCGATTAATTTGCTAACTCTAAGCGATTCATGCCTTGCAACGCACCCGAGTGTTGACAGTAACGTTCAGCATTTGGAAAGAGATGGAAGTGGCAGTGTTTTCATTTATTGCAAGAAAGATGATCTGTCGTGACAGCGGAATATACTTGACTGAATGTTAAATATGAACCCTTCAGAATAGAAACATAATATTTTGTAAATTATCGGGGGACAATTCTGTGTAACAACTCGTCAATGACAGTTGTTGTTTTTCTACCAGCAAGTTCGAAGGTTTGACTGCCTCTTCCCGGCAGGCGACAAAGGAATGACGGTGGCGGAGGTGTCTTGTGTATTCTCGCTGTTCAAGTGTGACTTACTTTTTGACGATGCAATTTGCCTCGACCTTATCTTGCAAGCACCAGGAATATTTTTTTGATGGATTACGAACGGATGATTGCGATTTTTTCTGTGCCTATATCAGCTGATTTAAGCAAATGCCTACAAATGGTAACAACGTGTTGATTTTCGCTTCGCTTGCGACTGAATTGAGAAATTTCTTCATAAAAGTGTTGCACCTGTGATGCCAATTCTTGATACAGGAAGTGTTTCCAACCTATTGGATATCTAATGCTGTGTGAGTCATTCTAAATGGCCGGAAACAAAAATACCCCTTATGAGGTAGCAAACAGTATTTAAAATTTTGTTGTTATTTAGTTATAAACATTGTATGTACTTTTTGTAAGTTAAAAAATGTGTGTTTATGACTAAGTTTATGCATTGCAATTAGTTTGATTACAATAAATATACAACAAATTCTATAACATATATTTTTGGATTATCTGATAAATGAGAGGAAACATTTTACAAGATCATTTTTTCGAGACAAATATGTTTTTGTTGATTTTTATTTGTTTAATATCTACCTGAGATTGAAAAAAAATACGAACTACCTAGTGTGTTTGTTGTAAAACTGCTCTGGCTTACTACGGAAATAGTTTGTTTTGGATATGTAGTGTACGAGGGAAAACAATATGTATTTGTGTTTGTTTTGGAGAAATTACAGTACAATTTGAGTGTAGATTTACACTGTAAGCTATTTTATTGAGATGGCTCTGATGGCAGGCCTCGTTTTAGAATTGTAAACAAAATAATTTAGGTAATAATGGTTATAAGTTGTTGTTTTTTCAATAATAATTCTGGTGGTTGTTTGTATTTTGTAATAAGCTGTACTGTCCCTACCCAAGCACAATATTTCAACTCCGATATTTTGTTGGTGCTATGTTTCTGTGATAAGAAATGTGATCGGAAATGAGAAACTGTATGTGATGTGTATTTCCCAAAGAATGTGTTAATTACATTAAAGGTCACATGCAACCAAAAAATCAAACATAATTAAAACACAATTATCACTTATTCATGACATATAATATACATTGCTGGTTACGAAAAAATATAAAAACAAAATTATAAGCGTACAATCGCAAATCGAAAGTGCAAAATTGTGTACTTCGGTTTACTTCCCAAGAAACGAAGCAGCCGGGATACCGAACCCAGTCAGAGCGGGTGGGTGTGCACTCAAGTGTAACGGCTGGTTCATTTACAGATGCCTTCACGGCTAATTGTTGTGTATATATAGAGAGAGATGTTGGGTTTTGTAAATACATGCTCATTTTTTGTGTATAACATTTTGCAATCAACAGACATCATAACATGTCATGTGTTCAAGTATCACACCTGCCTGTCTGTGTAATTACATAATGTGACAGAGACCGAACTCGGGCCATAAATCAATGCATTTTGTTTATGGTGTATAGCCTGATTGGTGTTAAGTTCAAATCGCTTGTGGTCAGTGATAGCAGCTGTGTATTGAATATTGTCATTAGCAGACAGGCAGGCAGACACACAGGTGTCAATAAAACAAGACATTGAGTTTTGTCTGTGACAGCGACATATCTATATCACAGTTAGAAATTCTGTCAACGCTAAATGATGACATTGCTTTTAAGTATCGAACTGAGAAAGTTTCTCGGTAAGAAGAACGTGTGGTGAAATAGACAAATGAAATTATATAAACAGTTAATTTACTGTCATAACATATAAAAGGCTCGCGCCTGTGAGATATCAGCAAAACATTAGAAAAATAGCTCACACCAAAGCCTTCACCGAGTATTCACCCGACAACCCGCTTCCAAGCTGCGCGAACCTATTTACTTGCGCACGTGCTATGAGCGCAGCCCAGCTGTTGAAAACCGTTTTCCCCAGAAAAGTCTGGGGAAAATTAGTGAAACGTTTGAACTCAGATTTCGCGCGGTTTTTTTCATCGGGTTATTTTTCAATTTATAAGTTGAATTTGCATTTTTGACGATTTGCTTCGGTATGTCCATACCGAAAGGTATCAGAATCTGCAAAGTTGTGTTTTACGTTGCATGTGACCTTTAACCAATATATATTATATCATGCAGACAGCATTTTCATTGGATTATTAACTTCCACAAAGATAAATGTGAAATGGAATATTCTGGACTAAGTTCACCTGAACTGTGTACGTTGATGAATATGAACTTGATTTCAGTGTAAGTGAATTCTGTAAAGTATGAAAGATATACATAGAATACACTGCCGATTTCATATTTTGTGAGCACTGGGTAAAGGCTTTGTGTTTTTGTTCAGTTTTCATGTTGGCTAACATACCGTACTTGTGTGCATGAAATTTCTGGTCTGGACAGAAGCACTTGCTTTGAATTCGTGGATGATGTAATATCAATAAGCTGATGTTTGTTGTGGTGGTTTGATGAATATACCATTTCAGTTTCTAAATGGTATGTTTGTTTGTTACTGATATGATTTGTAAAATCACGATAGAATATGACTGAAGAATTAATATGACAATTTGTAAAATTTCAAACGAGGGGTACAAGGCACTTGAGATCAAACTGCTGACCCGTTAGTATATCAGGCAAGCAGTTTCCGAATGTTTGTATTGTGACGTGCGTTTTTTATGGTTTTGTTTGTTTGTTGTTTTTTGGGGGCGTAACATTAGAAATACACAGTTTTGCAATTTACATACTGCTCTGTGTGGGAATGGAATATCTTAAAATGAGGAAGGTGTATAAAGGGATATTAGCTTGTTAAATTAAGCTTGTTTTTTTTTTTAAATATTGGTTCACAAGATCTTTAAAAATAATTAATTGAAGATCTGCTGTTGGCTATTAATATTTCTACGGTGAATGGCAGGGCTGGTTATAAACCAATTCGAGTAAAAATGGTAGTAAGTTGTTTTGTCAAGAGTTGTTTTCGCTATGTGATAAATTACATCATTTTTTTCAATTTGTAATTGGTTGTTTCCATACCCAAGTACATTATATCATTGGCAATTATTTTTGTTGCTTGATTTTGTGAGGGATGTGGGAAGAAGTTCCGGACGCGGCAACACATCAGATCGCATCTGAAGAACCATGTCAGCGGTACCGCATACCACCAGGAGGCCGCTGGTAACAGGGAATACCGTGATCCCGGGGATGTCCTCCCACCCAGGCCGGCAGGAACGATGAAGTCATCCGGTACTCTACCAGCGGATCGTTTACAAGCCCGACAGCGTGCACAAGAGGAAAGGAGATGCTGGCCACACCGGAGATGTTCTCGGGAGGAGCAGTTCATAGAGGAAATGAACTATTTGCTAACTTCAGACACTGACTGAACTGATGGACTCTTATTGTAAATGTGTCTATTTGGTTGTGTTAATTATTATGTTTTCCACAGAAATATTGTTTATAGTTGAGTTTTTGTATATTAAGTTACTTTGTATATTTAGTTCAGTATTACAGGGGATTTAGATTTAGAATTAAAGGGACAAAGTAAAGTTTTACTTTGATCTAGGAGGGGAGGAATGTAACGGGGAGCACGTGTTTCGTTTCGTGCAGACATTTTACTTCTGGGTGTTGGTCGTTAACTTGCGTTAGTAACTGTACATTTCGTTAGTCGTGGGTGCAGGAAATGTATTTCCTGCGAGGTTTGGGTTTCATACTTTGAATCTGTTCCGTCAGTGGTTGAATTGTTTTCGCCACCATTTTCTGTTGCAGTCAGGTTGTTTGGTATGAGCAATTTTGATTAGTGGTGGGCAGATTGGCTGACCAATCGTGTCGAGGTTGTTACGTAAGACGTAGGGCAGCTGCAGGGTATTTAAGCGCGTAACACAAATTGTTCAGTGTCTGTATGATCGGCGACCGGTCACAGGTGAGGTTATCCACCGCAATAAGTCCCGTGATGGGACAGTGTGTCCCGACTCCACTCCCTGTTAGGTTTTAGTTTATTTTCCAGCCAATAAAGAGACATTGAATAGAAATGTTGTATATTTTGGGGTAAATTTGTTAGTGGGGACGGCCGGATGGATTTCAGGGTAATGGAACATGCCAGTCAGTAGGAATTTCGTATATTAGAGTAGGTGCAGTAAGCTGTTGTTGGATTTAGTGCTATTTTAAGAGGGCGGTTTATGGGTAGTTGAGAGGGTTGGGGGAAAGTAGGTTAGGTTATTAATAAAATATTTTAAGTAATTGTGTTTGTATATCTTTTGTTCTCAGGAATTTGTTAGATTTAACTTTGTTTATGTTATTAATAAATTATGTCTTTATTTGAGAAATTTGTTGTTTTTTTAATTGCTCCTCTGCATCCACGAACTGGGAACGGGACGGCTTTGATTCAGAACACACAAAACACAACGCAAAGCATCATGGTCATATGTCGCTAAGGCCGTTCCCGTTACAATTTATAGCTTTTGCTGGTGAAGTGTTATGCTCATTGTTCTCTGGGATGTGACTTTGTATATTTCCAGCTTATAAACGTGGTGGAAAATAATTACCACTTTTGTTACCTTCTGATGAAATGTTTTCAAGATTTTACAAATGAAATGTGTTAATTAACAGGGCGATATTTTCATTTGATTGTATATTTCAACAAAGGTTAAATAACAAATTGAAATTTCAGGGCTAAATTTGAACTGTTAGTTAATTTAAACTCATTATAAGTGAAGTACGGACATATAGATCTACATGGAAAACATTGCTGACTTCAACATTAGGAAGCTCAGCGGGGCCTGTTGTGTTGGTGTAAGTTGCTGCGAAAACATTGTTGCGTTTGTGCGTAGTGAAACGGTCATAAGTAAGACGCATACTTTCCCTATCCAAATTGATTACTTTTCAAGGATGGATTGTACAGTGGAATTCCAGAATTTTACGTAGATAATCTAGTTATGGTACAAACAAATATTATTGAAGACTATACTCCCAACTATCTAAGAAGAATATTCACAAGAACTAAAATTTTGTTTCATATGTTGTCTTGGTGACCAATGGGTACATTTTATATATATTTTTTTAATTTCAACTATTGGTGTTGGCTGAGAGACGTTCGTTGATTCCCAACCACAGTGAATTTGTGGTTTGGACATATGCTTCTGCTTTGAAGGCGCGAGTTGACGTGGATGATGTGACAACAGCTGAAGCATATGGGTGCAATACAGAGAACTTTTCACAATATCAGTATCATAGTTTACCGCTTCTAAACTTGTGTTGTCATAACAATGTCGGCCATTTTTGCTGTTACTAAGAAGGGAGACAACTCAGAATATGTTTATAATACAACTGATGTTGTATATAAGAAATATCAGCACATTATTGAGGTACATTTTCAAGTCATTTTTCCGCCCAAGGTACATTTCAGTCGGGATATTTTCCTCAGCATAACAGGAACCTATCAATAAGTTTAACCCCTTGATGCCGAGGGTTTTTTTCAGGCGCACATTTTCATACGGTTTGAAAAGTTAACCTTGTGCGAGAATTGCGCACGCATGGTCCTGGATCTACGTACGGCTATAAAATTACAGAAATGTAGATTATTAAATTCCCTATCCGTTGGTATAAATATAAGTGCAACTACCTCGGCGGTTTGAGAAATAGACACTGCTAAATGTTGTCCAAAGTTTGTTATGCGTTAAAAAACATTTTCGACAAGCGCAGTCTTTCAAGCACAGCGTTCGTTTTCACACCCAATATGTTTCGTCTCATTGTATCTAGACAGTTGGTATTGGTGATACAGACCGGTTGCAATTTGATTCTAAAATGTATGGGGAATTCAGTGATGCATTTTTCGAAGCTGAATATGAAATATACGTGATGTAATAGGCGTCTCAATACCGGCCTTCGCGAAACGTGATTTTGTAAACACGATCCAATATGGCGGAAAGCGGTCTACGGCGTTCGTGCAAGTGCATTTTCGAAAACATCGCAACCGATTCTAGATTCATCGGCAACGTTTCAGAATTATGATTAGCGATTTCATGTAAAACTGACATCAGTGATCATGAATATGTTATTTTTTAAATTCAATACTCCCAGTAATTATCCGATTTTCACATTTCAAAACATACAGCAAATAACGCTGTGAATCGCGATTTCGTACTGTGTCAAAAATGGCGACATTTTCGATGAAGCCTATTTTGAAAGGTTTGTCTAAAATAATAGTGGATGGTATCAAGAAACAGGTAATTTCCCGCAGAATTCGAAATTGTGAAGTGTACTTGTGTGCATGGGATATTTTTACTTTTATTGGACTTGAAATTGAGGGTTGAAGGGGAAGGACATATATGTCCCTGTGGCATCCAGGGGGTTAAGACACAATTTTGCTTGTGATACGAAATGTGCGGGTGAGCTTACTTTCATGTGGATTTCTACTGGACTGTAATGTAATGATCAGTACCTCGATGATTCCAAGCTGGAAGTTTGAGCACGGCTTTTGTTGACTGACGGAAGGACTGATACTTGGTACGTATGCATAGTTCCGATGCTGAATCAATTAACCAATCAGCACGCTCCGCGCCTTTACTGCTGCTGAGCTTGTCGCTAAGGCGCCATTTGGTCTCCCAAGCTTTTGCGTATCTAAGGACATAGGTGTCAGCGAGTGTTTTGGAAATGGTGCAGCGCTGCGCTTGGGGTACTTGCAATTCGGACGAAAGGTACCCAGATAGAATCATTAATGTCCATTTCCTGCCATTTCCCAAACCGAAAGCCCAGTTTGAGAAGTGCTCGCCGTGGAGTAGAGCGTGTGGCCGACCCCACGGACAACTGAATGTCGGCAACATAAACAAACACAAGTTCGTCTACTCCAAGGTATGACTGAGTGTAGAGTAGGTATAAACTGGTCTTTCTAGCATATGACTGTATTTATATCGATATATCTTCGGATTATATGTTTACGGACGCAATATATTGTCGCACGGCAATAGACTACAGAATACGGATACCTTCCGCCATCTTTGAAAGCTTATTTTAGAACTGCGCACAAAATGTGCGCAACTGAGTTCCTTAGAAACGGCGTTTTGTTTATGTTGCATACTCAACATTACGAGCATTAGGGGTTAGGATTAGGGTTTAGGGTTAGATTAGACATTAGATATGATTCTTACCTTCACAGAACGAAATCGTCAACACTGTCGTCAGCATCGGGTTGCAGGGGAGCGAAGGGGGTCTCACATGCACAATTTCATCATCTCTGTCATGGGGGTTATATACACGACGGATAAGCTCCAAGAAAGCTATAAACATGTCCTCCCTGTTACTCAAGTACTTCCTTCTTACACACAATTCTTCAAAATATGACAAATACAACCCCTGAGTAGTGCCGGATCGTGGAAGAGATCTTTTCTAGGCACCCCAAGAGGACTCAATGGTGTTAGTATGTGCTCCTGTCTCGGGGTCCTTGAAATGGATCGTGTGATTCACTTTCAAGTGGAGAAAGTCTTCATGCTTCAAGCAGTCATAGGCTTTCCAGCAATCGCTTATTATTGTGGTGCCTGGTTTGATGTATTTCTTTATTATCGGAATTAGTGTCTCAGAGTCACGCTTGTCCACACATGCAAAAAAAAAGTCTTTGGATTCCCGATCGATTCCCCCGAAAACCCACTGACCCTCAACCCTTTTTCCCCGATTAAATTTTCTTTTTCCAAACTTTGATTCGTCAATCTCCACTATTCTTCCCTCCCCACCGATCCTATCACTGTCAGAATCTGCAACAACAACACACACTTCGCGACAAAAGTGGTACCAGTCTACAGAAGTGTTGCAAGACGAAATGTCTACTTCCCGACGTACGAAATCTTGAGACAACTTGAAAATCCAACAATATGTGAGCAAATAATTTTGCCACAATATAATTTGCTGTTTTCAAACCACGAATTGTGGCGAATAGAAAGCTTTTTGCCACACGATTTCTTGGTACATTTCCAACACATATTGTCTTTGCTGTAGCTTTTATCTTTACACAAATAAAATTTCCCAATACAACATTTACCGCATGTTTTCCCGTCCCAGTTTCCAAAACGTCCCTTGTTTCTTAAAAATCGATGAAGTTCTACTTTGTCTTCCGATAATTTGAATACGTCCCACAATCGCATCTTCTGAACGCCGAGTAGTAGTTGTAGACTTCCAAATATGGCCGTTACTAGGCTATTACGTAGACACAAACTGACCAATCACTGAACACTTACCTTTCAGAAATTTCCCACGCTCATTCGCTCCAACTCCCAGAATTCTGGTCCTTTTTTTTTTCAAAGACGCATATATTTTTTATATTTCTACTAACCAGAAGTCGTCTCGATCAATCCGACTTTAATGGTTATTTTTCATTTTAATGCTCGGTTATTGTTTCGAATTTTATAGCTCGTGCTTCTAAGACAATTAATTCCTGGGAGGGAACGTAATATATTGATGAATGTTGTCACTCTGGTTTACAATAACGCATTTTAATGCACTTACCCAGCCTTGCAAAAAACAGTAGGAATCGACAAATGTTTGTGATCGTATATCTATCTACAGCTGCAGTTTGTGCGCCTCTTCGCGCTTCGATAGCGATCATCAACATTTCGCGTACACGAAAACGGCCTGAGTATGACTGAAAACTTTTATGTCGTGCACATGCCCTTCTAGAAAATAATTTAAACCCCTTACTTGTGCCCTTTTTGATATTCTGTGATGTTCTGGATGGAAATGTAAGGAGATATTGTCGGGCATTGACCTGAGACAGTCGTCTCCCGGATGACATTCAGGTATTTTGATAGCTCAGCATCGCAAACCTTGGGGGACATAGCAACAGTAACCAATGTAGGCGTGGCTTCGTAGCGTCGGTCGGAACTATGCATATGTTGATGGATTATCAAACATAATATGTTTGTAACTGTCAATTTTTCTGTACATTTATTCCATCAGTTATGACCATATATACAAACATAAATGGCATGATAGTAAAGAGGTAAAGCATGTGATCCCTTGTACAGTTTGATTTAGTTGGTGAAATATATATTCAGTATCTGAAGGTTGCACTAATTTGAAAATTGTGCCACAAATTTTAGGTTGTGTTTTGCAAAAGTGACAATTTTTATTATGACCCAAATAGCCATTAATAACTGAACTTTGTAGCTTTATAGAGCTTTCGAATGAAAGCTGGAACATTATAACTGATAGATGGATGCATAATTACTGGAACTGATTACTGGTGTGGATCTTAGTGTGGCTGTGTTGCGTTGTGCTCATTTTCTTTCATTTGAAGGTTCTTCCTGCCAGGCAGCTGGAAGATAGGGGTCACAGTACAAGCGTGGTGATCACAGTTATCATGGAGCTGAGGCCAGGCAGCTGGAAGATAGGGGTCACAGTACAAGCGTGGTGATTACAGTTATCATGGAGCTGAGGCCAGGTAGCTGGAAGATAGGGGTCACAGTACAAGCGTGGTGATGACTGTGATCATGGAGCTGAGGCCAGGCAGCTGGAAGATAGGGGTCACAGTACAAGCGTGGTGATTACAGTTATCATGGAGCTGAGGCCAGGCAGCTGGAAGATAGGGGTCACAGTACAAGCGTGGTGATTACAGTTATCATGGAGCTGAGGCCAGGCAGCTGGAAGATAGGGGTCACAGTACAAGCGTGGTGATTACAGTTATCATGGAGCTGAGGTCAGGCAGCTGGAAGATAGGGGTACAAGCGTGGTGACAAGTTATCATGAGCTGAGATCAGGCAGCTGGAACAGGGTATCAATGGAGTTATCATGGAGCTGAGGCAGGCAGCTGGAAGATAGGGTCACAGTACAAGCGTGGTGATCACAGTTATCATGGAGCTGAGGCCAGGCAGCTGGAAGATAGGGGTCACAGTACAAGCGTGGTGATTACAGTTATCATGGAGCTGAGGCCAGGCAGCTGGAAGATAGGGGTCACAGTACAAGCGTGGTGATTACAGTTATCATGGAGCTGAGGCCAGGCAGCTGGAAGATAGGGGTCACAGTACAAGCGTGGTGATCACAGTTATCATGGAGCTGAGGTCAGGCAGCTGGAAGATAGGGGTCACAATACAAGCGTGGTGATTACTGTTAGCATGGAGCTGAGGTCTACATGCTATGAGTGAGTTATTGAGTATTGTTTTGTGTAGTATTAAAGCAAACTAATAGTGGCAGAAAACAAATGGACTCTAACGTTAAACCAGGGTGGGGAATAGAACAGGAACTTAAGCTCCACGAGGGATGATTTAGGGTTTGTAACGCTATGTAACACCCTATATTTAATGGTATTATTTATCCCTTACTGGTATTTTATACCATCACTAATTACCAGTTCAGTAGCTCAAGTTGTAGAAATGCAATAGACACCGAATATAGGAATCAAACTTTTATTGCCAAAGTGGAACACTCCAAGCCTGGCCTGATAGTTGACAACCCTACACAGTATATAGTAACACCATGTAAACAAAAGATAATATTGATTGTTAATCATGTGTTGTTATATGAGTGTGAATTCTACAAATAACAGACTGAAACGTATTATGAGTGTGAAGACTTTATTTGACATGCAGATAGAACGAGGACAAAATGTGTCTCACTTTAATGTATTGCTTTGTGAAAGGACTGGGACCATTAACTGTAAAGTATTGCCCTGCCCACCAAGTGTTCACCCACAGTCTCAGGTAGACAGCCTGTACCCTGACCACCAAGTGTTCACCCACAGTCTCAGGTAGACAGCCTGTACCCTGACCCCAAGTGTTCACCCACAGTCTCAGGTAGACAGCCTGTACCCTGCATACCAAGCCTTCACCGCCCAGCCTGAGGTCAACAGCTTATACCCTGCCCACCAAGCGTTCAACCACAGTACCAGGTAGACAGCCTGTACCCTGCTCACCGAGTGTTCACCCACAGTCTCAGGTAGACAGACTGTACCCTGACCACCAAGTGTTCACCCACAGTCTCAGGTAGACAGCCTGTACCCTGACCACCAAGTGTTCACCCACAGTCTCAGGTAGACAGCCTGTACCCTGACCACCAAGTGTTCACCCACAGTCTCAGGTAGACAGCCTGTGACCACCAGCCTCACCCCTCACCCTGCCCACAGTGTTCACCCACAGTCTCAGGTAGACCCTGACCCTGCCCACCAAGTGTTCACCCACAGTCTCAGGTAGACAGCCTGTACCCTGACCACCAAGTGTTCACCCACAGTCTCAGGTAGACAGCCTGTACCCTGCCCACCAAGTGTTCACCCACAGTCTCAGGTAGACAGCCTGTACCCTGCCCACCAAGTGTTCACCCACAGTCTCTGGTAGACAGCTTGTACCCTGCCCACTAAGTGTTCACCCACAGCTTCAGGTAGACAGCCTTCATTTACTTCTCAACTAAAGTACAAAAACAAACAAGGGTGATTAAATTTATTTATACTACCTTGTGTGTGATCTCACTCTACCTCTAGTGTGTTTCAACTGTGTCTACCACAAATCTGACTCTACTCCCTGTGTGACCTTATATTATCATACATGTGGTGTTTAACAGCTACCGTTACATCTCCCGGAGAGCTACTCCTACTCCCTGTCTGACCTCACTGAATGTTGTGTTTCACTTGTGGCTTAGGTGTCTAACCACTACTGTTACATCTCCCGGAGAGCTACTCCTACTCCCTGTCTGACCTCACTGAATGTTGTGTTTCACTTGTGGCTTTTGGGTGTAAGTGTGATTTACGGGCTGTGAGTTTGCGAGTGTTTATTGTTTGACACAATAAAGTGGTGGAAATATACACCTTTTAAAACTTGTATCAGGACGTGGCATCAAACCTGGCCTTTGATTAGGGATGTTTTGAAGGTTTTAAAGAGCAAGCTTATTTCTATGGCTAGTAAGAGTGCAGTTATTTAACAAAGTAGAACACTCCAAGCATGACCTGATTGCTGACTATCCTACACTAACAGACTGTAGACTTACAAGGCAACACTGTTGGCAACATGCACCTGTATAAGGTACAAGAGGGATTCACTGTATTCCATATGCAGGTTGAGTGAAAAAACAAGCTGTGTTTTAAGTGCCCCACTTTGAAGTGTTGTGTTTGACGGCATCCATTAACTGTAAACAGATGTTGAGGTGGCAGACACATTATTCTGAGACAGCATGACTACATCATGGACCACACACAGCCTGGGAAAGGGGAAATGAGAACCTACATGAGCTGATATAACTAGCTGATGTTGTAACAATTTATTCAATGTAAAGACATTCTGAACACATTTGTTGTGCTTTGTTAAGTTGTGAGTGCGTAGATTTGATATGCAGTAACTTGTGGTATCAGGATTCACTTAATTATGTACATGCATAATGTACCAGTCAGGAACAATCCCGCCACAGACAGACATTGGCCTGACCATTCAATATCATTCCAGTCACAGATCCCTGATATGCCTTAGGTAGACAGCCTGCACTCTGACCACCAGGTGTTCGACCGGCACAGCCTTAGGTAGACAGCCTGCACCCTGACCACCAAGACTTCAATCCAGCCTTGCACCCTGAACACCAAGTCTCCGTCCACAGCCAAGGTAGTAGACATCTTGTAGGCTGGCCACCAAGTCTTCACCCACTGCCAAGGTAGTAGACATCTTGTAGGCTGGCCACCAAGTGTTCACCCACAGCCAAGGTAGTAGACATCTTGTAGGCTGGCCACCAAGTCTTCACCCACTGCCAAGGTAGACAACATTCATTCAGTTCATAGCTGAAGTAAATAGAAGTTTTATAGTATTGTGTTATGTTCCATTTATATGACTCGCTGTGATATAAGTAAATATAAGTATTCAAGAGTCTGTGCCATGTGCTTTAATGCAGGATTATGCTAGGATTCTTTTGCACTGTTTCGATACAGTGACTGACTGACTGACTGAGTTTGGTTTTACGCCGCTTTTAGCAATATTCCAGCAACATCACAGCGGGGGACACCAGAAATGGGCTTCACACATTGTACCCATGTGGCCGATACAGTGAACTAACAGTTTGATAAAGCATATAATATTATTATTCATAATATTCACGATGTGATGTTTCTTTCTTTCCTCGAAGACAACTGCTGTTACCAAATTCCAATATTTATAAATAGTGTGTTGTCTCCCCTTACACAAACATTGGAGTATTGCTGACAGCAGAGATGTAGCCTTAGGAATGTGCTGAGGAGACACGATGCTTTGTACAAATTGTTGCATTCCATCAAACATGTCATTGTAAAAGTCTGGAAGAATATTCCAGAAAAGATGTGTAATATCTGAGACACTGATGCAGTATACAATTATTTCTATGTTATCAAGAATAGAATAATTGGATGTTATAGGTGACCTCGATAGGTTAGCATAGGAGTACATTGGAGCAAGCTGACCTGTGAGGAGTTCAATATATGGAGCGTTTGAGACATTAAACAAGAAATTAAACATTTGTAACCAGAATTAAGTTTTGCTATGACATATCAGTGGTGTGTGACTTGCATTTAGCAAAACATTAGCCAAGGTTGTTTAATTTGCAGATTGCGTGGGGCAGCTGCTTCTAAGATAAATGGGAAAACAGAACTCTTTGTGGACATATGAAGACTAATGAATTTTTGTTATTGAATTAAAACATGTTCAAAATACCTGCTTGTTTTCATTCAATATAGTATTGATGCATTATCCTTTATTCGGCAGACAGGATAGACAATAAATGTAGCTCACATGCCACTTCACTGAGTAAATATAATATAAGATTTACTCTTTTACAAACTGTTATTTAGATCTGGAAAATGGTGAAACAGATTGTTGATCAGCTAAAATTAAGACATGATATGAGTGAGCAGATAATAAATACTAGACCACTCATTTCATCATTTTAAGTACAGAGACATTTTGATAAACCTTCGTATGTATTTCATGTGCACTGGAAGTGGTTAACATTGGACAGGAGTTGATTGACATGAGTTATTGTCATAGTTACTGGTCAAAGTGCTTCTTTCATCAGCGATATTGCTAGTCTTCCTTACAGGTCAAATACAGACAGTGATGAAGCTGATAAGCTGATAATTTGTTAATGTGGGTATGTTTTGGCTTTTCACAAGTTTGTTATCTTGATTACTGTTTGTGTACTTTCAGGTACCTTTAAACAGCGGCAAGAGAAGAAAGTAAGCATACACATAGTTTTAAGCATAGCTTTGAGTTGAGTGCTGATTAATGCCTCGGGCACCAGCAACCGAGAAAAAGATTATTGAAAATTAACAATAGTCTGCTAGCAAATAAGACCCAGTCTTTTGGATTTTTTAAGTAACCTAAAAGAATTGAAAAATTACAAATTATGTAAATGTTTGCTGCTCCAATAACATCCTTGTTCACTCCATGGGTCAGTGACTATGACTCTCCAATTTCTTTTTTCCATAAATATATCATTCAAACAAACTTACAAAAACTCTTAAATATGTTAACTTTTATGAAGATATTGTTTATTCCAACTGATATATTTCTTCAGTGTGATATTTCCAGAGCCCCTGTCGAAACAAATTACTTTCTCTTCCTATTCCCCATGTTGCATAAACATAATAACCATGTCAGTGATAAAATCATTTTTTCAGAACTCTGAACAAATAGACAAATGGATGTTAATTATCAAGCTTGGAAAGATAAGTATATGGCTAAACTCTCATTCCATACAGTAAAGTCGGAAAATATTAATGGATGTTTCATTTGGAACGGGTTTAAGTCAGGAAAGTCAAATAAGGAGTATGGAAGGATGAATATAAAATTACCAGGAGGGTCCAAATTTAAACAAATTCTTGTTCACCGGTTAGCTTATATGATTCATCATAATATGTTTTCTCTGCCAAAATATTTGGAGTGTTCACATTTGTGTGCAAATTCTTTTTGTATTAATGCCGATCACCTTAATTTAGAGAGCCACCATACAAATGTTAAGCGGAATGTATGTCATGTAAAAAATGATCTGTAGTGGCCATGGATCAGAACCAAATTGCACATTTGTTCAGGGCTGCTGAATTTGTATGAGTTTTAAAAGTTATTTAATTTACAGTTTTCATGGTGTAGTGATTTCTGAGATAATGCTTAAAAGTTAACTCACTGCACAGTGTGACATCTTTTATCATAACTTACTTTGAACATACATGTAACTGAAGTCATTTCTTTCTAAACTGTGTGGCTATGCGTTGAATGACGAGGTAGAAAATGGAAACAAACACACAGAAAACATTGCTTTCATTTCGTTTCAGGCCCAACCACCAGAGAAAAACAACTTGGACTGAGCATTGAACCCAAACATTCTAAGACCAACCTCCCGTTTTTAGATAAGTTTTTTGATTTAATAGGCAGGGAGGTAGTAATTCGTGGCATGGAGCCAGTACGCACTGGGGATCTGAGAGACAGGTACATCCAGTATGTGAGATGGTGGACTAAAGATAACGTGCTGATTGAACTGGCCGAAAAGCCTAAAAGGTTCTTCGACCAGTTCAGAGCCATGGCTTTGGAAAGGGGATATGCTCCTGTTGGTCATCCCTTCAGGGGCTATGAAATGTGCCTCCCCAGGGTGTCGCGTGGAGCTACAGAACGGTCCTCCCTCTGGGTGAGTACTCCACCAAAGGTGGTGTACATTAATGCAGTGAAGGGTCACGGTTTTGCAACCAGTGACTATCTGAAGGGTCAGATTGTATGTGAATACCTTGGGAAGCTTATTACCAGGGATGAGATGCTTGTCAGGGATGCGGTCTATCAACAGCAAGGACTACGCCACATTATTATTGACTTGTCACACAATTTGTACCTAGATGGGAATAGGTTGGCTGATGGCACCGAGCCTTCCGTTAAGGATAACATCGGTGCATCACTTAACCATTCAAATGTAAGTCCGAATTGTGATTTGGTCAAAGACCGGGCAAGTGGGCGTTACGTCATTAAGTTAATCACTGCTTTGTCTGCTAATGCAGAATTGACTTGGTGCTATGATAGAGCCACAAGACAACATGCCGGCTGGTTTAGTAACACCTAGGTTGGTAACATCTAATCACATGCGGATAGGCATACAATTTAGAACTAGAACCTGCTGAAATTTGCTGAAACATGTACTGAAAATTCATATTGGCATTTCAGTCCAAGGTATCAAGAAGAAAGAACAGAAAGAAATAACTATCATGACTATATTCTTGAACTGATAAAACAGATATTGCACTTTTGTACAGCCAGCTGCATTGGATTGCATATTAAAAGTTTACAGTTCTATTCTACACCTGGAACATGAACGTCATCATCTAGAAACTGATATGTTTTTTGACTTTGAAAGTAAGAATATTGTACAAGACAACCTGCAGTGTATATGATAGTATTGTATGTTTAGATATTCTTCAATCATAATCTTGATAAACAGGACCAACCTCTTAACTTGTGTTCTTCAGACTACTGTTCCTTGACTCTTATGTCCAACTGTTGTCTTAACTAACATCCCTGACTTACTGACCAGTTGAGCACAACAACTATTACTATCGGTGAGCACAATCATGTTAACCCCCTTTAAGCAGATCATTCCCTGGTGAGATGAGCATAGTAATCTGAATGGTTGAGCACATATCCTTCAGGAATGTGAGCACAGAATCTCAAAAGCCATGTGCTGTGATCAGCTTTATAAGAATTAAATCAGTGAACCAATTATTTCCTCGATTTCAGTTGAATGTTAAAGAGCACTCCAGATATATGACAGTGGTGTGTAAATAATTGAGTCTGGAACAGACGATCCAGCAATTGGCATTGTGAGCATGGATCTATGGAATTTGGATACAATGACAAGTGTCAACTAAGTAAACGAGCCTTGCCTCTTATTTGAATATGAACAGCGGTACTGAAATTACTGAACGTAGAGTCATAACTATTTATTGTACCAATTATCATTACACAGGTAAGAAATATAAACTGAGTGGAAATGCTACTGTGAACACAAACATCAGAACAAGTGGTAAACATTTCTAACAAAACTTGATTCACAGAAAGTACAGTCAAGTCTGTTGATAGCGTAGCTATACTGTGGGTACATCCAGTTATTTATGAACAAAAACTACAACATTTCTGAAGAAGAGCTCTGTAGGTTGTTTCAACCTCTGAGTGCTGGAAGACCAGCATACACGTGTCACTTGATGTGTGGTACAGTGAGCCATGTGAACAGTGTTGAGATGTAGGAGAAGGAAAACAGTAATTGTACCACTGCTACTGCTGAACCATGAACCTTCTCTTGTTTCATTGAAATCAAAGTCTGATAATCATTACCCACAGGCTTTGAAAATCTTCTGATTGCTGTAGCTTAGTTTACAGTGAGCCATGTGAACAGTGTTGAGATGTAGGAGAAGGAAAACAGTAATTGTACCACTGCTACTGCTGAACCATGAACCTTCTCTTGTTTCATTGAAATCAAAGTCTGATAATCATTACCCACAGGCTTTGAAAATCTTCTGATTGCTGTAGCTTAGTTTACAGTGAGCCATGTTAACAGTGTTGAGATGTAGAAGGAAAACAGTAATTGTACCACTGCTACTGCTGAACCATGAACCTTCTCTTGTTTCACTGAAATCAAAGTCTGATAATCACTACTCACAGGCTTTGAAAATCTTCTGATTGCTGTAGCTTAGTTTACAGTGAGCCATGTGAACAGTGTTGAGATGTAGAAGGAAAACAGTAATTGTACCACTGCTACTGCTGAACCAAGAACCTTCTCTTGTTTCACTGAAATCAAAGTCTGATAATCACTACTCACAGGCTTTGAAAATCTTCTGATTGCTGTAGCTTAGTTTGATCCTCTATTGCTGCTATGATATTGTGTTGAATTGTGCAAACATGGAGATACGGCATATGATTGAACATGTGCTACTATGCACATTATCGACCTGCAGACATAACTGTGAAATAAGCTGTACTAAATTTCCCAAAGGGGTACCTGTTATCTTAAATTGGGTTAGAATCATGTCATCACATTACATAGGCACAATTGCTTCTATTTTACTGACAAAATGTTAGTTCCACTTGTAAGTGTTCCAGGAGTGTTTCACATCAAGTACTTATTGAACTGATTGCTTGTTCCCATCTCACATATGTATGTATCACTCTCATCCATGAACTTCCGTGTTCGTTCAGAGTACAAGGGTATACGATGGATCACTCTCATCCATGAACTTCCGTGTTCGTTCAGAGTACAATGGTATACGATGGATCACTCTCATCCATGAACTTCCGTGTTCGTTCAGAGTACAAGGGTATACAATGGATCACTCTCATCCATGAACTTCCGTGTTCGTTCAGAGTACAAGGGTATACGATGTATCACTCTCATCCATGAACTTCCGTGTTCGTTCAGAGTACAATGGTATACGATGGATCACTCTCATCCATGAACTTCCGTGTTCGTTCAGAGTACAATGGTATACGATGGATCACTCTCATCATCCATGAACTTCCGTGTTCGTTCAGAGTACAAGGGTATACAATGGATCACTCTCATCCATGAACTTCCGTGTTCGTTCAGAGTACAAGGGTATACAATGGATCACTCTCATCCATGAACTTCCGTGTTCGTTCAGAGTACAAGGGTATACGATGGATCACTCTCATCCATGAACTTCCGTGTTCGTTCAGAGTACAAGGGTATACAATGGATCACTCTCATCCATGAACTTCCGTGTTCGTTCAGAGTACAAGGGTATACAATGGATCACTCTCATCCATGAACTTCCGTGTTCGTTCAGAGTACAAGGGTATACAATGGATCACTCTCATCCATGAACTTCCACGTTCGTTCAGAGTACAAGGGTATACAATGGATCACTCTCATCCATGAACTTCCGTGTTCGTTCAGAGTACAAGGGTATACGATGGATCACTCTCATCCATGAACTTCCGTGTTCGTTCAGAGTACAAGGGTATACGATGGATCACTCTCATCCATGAACTTCCGTGTTCGTTCAGAGTACAAGGGTATACGATGGATCACTCTCATCCATGAACTTCCGTATTCGTTCAGAGTACAAGGGTATACGATGTATCACTCTCATCCATGAACTTCCGTATTCGTTCAGAATACAAGAGTATACGATGTATCACTCTCATCCATGGATTTCGATGGAAATACGATGGTATACGATGTCACACATCTTTCCTAATCAAGGCAACATGTGACATTTACATGATGAAATACACTTCACATACTACAGTACTCATGGCCCTGTGTTCAGTACTTGAGCCACTGTACTGGAAGTGTGTACTGTTTTGGGTGAAAGGTGATCATTTCTGGAGGTGTGACTATGTAGTGCGTACAATGTTACTTGCATTTTAAATGTGCTGCTATATTGGAAGATGAATTCTAGATTTCTAGGTTCAAATATATATTACCTACAGACAGAACTGTGGTGCAATGTTATCAAATGCACAAGCTCTTTTATCCAGTTCATGGTTGTTAAAATTCCTTTAAGAAATATTATTCTGTGGGCTGTAGGACTAGCCAGAATATACACCTTGACGTACAATATGCAATCATGATTTTCATGATATAATTTAAGCAGATCCCTGGTTACCTACTGACTGCATTGTTGACATTTTGTGAAAAGTTTATCAATTATGCCTCCCTGCCTAATTTTTCCCTCCTAACACATTAAACAGTTGTACTTAAAGACAGGCACAGCATCTGGTGTCAAATATTTAAGATTTTGATGTTATACAGTACTGCTTTGGTGAATCAAGAACATTCTTGTCAAATTAGTGTCAGTTTCAATAGATCAGTCATGGAATTGATTATTTTCCGGTAACAGTGGCAAATAAATGTCGAAACCACCCGTCTGATAACAAACACTAACATATACATTATCAGAATACTCTGCTATTATGTTCCTTTCCCTTATCTTGATTCATCGGCAATAAGTTACTTGCAGTATATTCCTATCATGAAGACTTACCAGTAAAATCCAGTTTCCCTGGATACATGTAATTGCATTATAATGTTTTCATAATTCATGGCTTTCTTTATCTTAACTGATGTCCAAAAGTCTTATTTCAATCCTTTTATTATGTGGGTTCAGTGCTCAGTCTCGGTAAGTAATCTCATTTCCTCGTTAATGTTCATAGTATTTACCAGGGCTCGATTCAGTACTTGCACTGGTGCAACCCAATATTTGAAAGTGCAACATAGTTATCAGTATAACTTGCACTCTTTGAGTGGGT